ACACACACACACACAATCAGCCCTCAATATCCATGAGTTCTGCATCCACGAATCCAACCACCTGTGAATCAAAATTATTTTTTAAAAATTGTGTCTGGGCCAGCCTGTGGCTCACTTGGGAGAGTGTGGTACTGACAGCACCAAGTCAAGGGTTGGAATCCCCTTACCAGTCATCTTTAAAAAATAATAATAATAAAAAAATAAATAAATAGATAAATAGATAGAAAGATAAATAAGTAAAAATTGTGTCTGTATTGAACATGTACTGACTTTTTTCTTGTCGTTATTTCCTAAACAATACAGTATAACTATTTACATATTTTACAGTATAATTATTTACATAGCATTATTTCCTAAACAATACAGTATAACTATTTACATATTTTACAGTATAATTATTTACATAGCATTATTTCCTAAACGATACAGTATAACACTTACACAGCATTTGCATTGTATTAGGTATTCTAAACAATCTAGAGATGATTTAAATTATGCAGGAGGATGTGCATAGATTACATGCAAATACTACACCATTTTATAAATACAGTATAACACTTACACAGCATTTGCATTGTATTAGGTATTCTAAACAATCTAGGGATGATTTAAATTATGCAGGAGGATGTGCATAGATTACATGCAAATACTACACCATTTTATATCAGAGACTTAAGCATCCACAGATTTTGGTATCTGCAGGAGGTCCTGAAACCAATCCTCCATGAATACATATTCTGCATTCAACAAGAATAAAATACACATTATTTTCAAGCTCATATAAAGTTTTTATAAAGACTAAACAAAAATTGTGCCACAAAGAAAATAAAGAATTGAAATAATGCATGGTATATTTTCTAATTCATATTCAATTTAAGCTATAAAAAAGTTTTAAAAGAATTATTAGAAAATATTGATGTGTCTTAAAAAACCCTGTGGGACAAAAAATGGACAAAAACTTATAATGAAAATTAGAAATATTTTAACCAAATGATAATAAAATAATTTATATTAAAATTTGTGAGATGCAGCTAAAGTTGTTCTTAGAGGGAAATTTATAGCCTTAAACACAAATGTTGGAAAAGAAGAATGGCTAAAAGTTAATAAAATGAATCCATTTCAAGAAGGCAGACAAAGCAAAATAAACTGGAAGAAACTATAAAAAAGAAAATAAAGAACATAAATAAATGTAGCTGGCTTTGAGAAAGGCTTTCTGATGAATTTGAACTTTGATACTCACGTGAGGAGGACAAGGCAGAAGAAGAGCAGAGCAGTCGCAATGGCTCCATACATAATGCCCTGGATCAGCCCTTTCATGAACACATTGGAAACTAAATTCTGATCTGGAATCAGAGGGAAGCGAGAGTGGTTTTTCCTGTAAGGCCTTGAAGTGTGAGCTACAACCCTACTCTCTCCTCTGGCCTTGTGCCCATCCTCATCCTGGTCCCTAACTGTTGTTTTACTAGCTCAGTCACTACTGCCCTGTATACTCACCTGGCATAAAGAAGATGCTTGAAGTGTGGATTCCATATTGGTTTTTCCCCTCACAGTAAAGTCTCGTGAGTATTTCTGGCTCCCCAATGAGGTTGATGGTGCTGTTGGCCCAGGGGGCAAGTATGGTAGAAGTCACCTGGAGGATGTTATCCATGCTGTTCACATCCACAGGGGCATCTCCCATCCACCACTGCACAGAGGGAGTGGGGATCCCGTGGAAGGAACAGCTGCACTGCAGTGTCTTCTTCAAGGCACAAGAGGAGTTGAACAATCTGGCAGGTGCTGTGGGGAGAAAGAGTAAGGAGTCAGCCAGGCATCCTGACTTTCCTTCTCCACTTCCTCCAGGACGCAATCTTCTCTTTGTCATTCACAAGGAGGTTCAGAAAGACCTTCTGGAATGCTAGAGAGGGGCTGGGGACTCAGAGAATTCTCCTTCATCCTCTTCATTTGCCTCAGAATTGGGCTCAGCTCTTACCTCTGGCATTTCAGAACTAGAGGCCAAGGGAAGATCTGATTTCTCCCCAGACTTCTCCTCCTCTGGGACTCAGTCTTTCTCTTGGGCCCACCATTTCCCCAGACTCTGGACCCTGCCCATGCCCACAGAACTCACAGACCACTTGGAGCTTGACCACGCTACTTCTGGTTAAGTTAGCTAGGGAGGTGTTCAAGTGACATTTGAGAGTGGTGCCGTGGTCCTCAGGCTTCAGGGTGAAGTGTAGCCCCAAGGAGGAGGAGTTGCTGGAGACAGTTGGGTTGGAGGACACGGCAGG